CGACCGCAAACCCCCAGATGCCGAGTCGATCGCCGGCTGGATTATTGGAAGAGGGGGTACCCGGTTCAGGGCCATTTGTTGCAAATCGACTCAACATCCCTTCTGGCCGATCGCCATCGACCCGCCACGCTTCATAATCACCCGGCACGATAGGCGTCGGGTAGGCGTGAGGGATGCGGGAAGGGTGATGGGCGCCATTGGGACCATTGGGGCCGACGCCCAGTGGGGTCGCTCGGTAGACCTCGCGACAGCGGAACTTCTCGATATCCCACACGGTGATTTCATTACCGTGGCTGCCGCTACTGGATACGCAGACCCAGCGTCCGCGGGCCTTGACGGGATGTAGTTGGATCTGGTTGATAGCACCCCAGCCTGGAAGTCCCCATGCCTTCAACCGGACGCGGAAGCGGAGATCCCACAGGTCAAGAATCCCATGAGTTGTGCCGACCAGTAGCCAGTGATGCCTGCGGTCGCAACAGAATGTCGTTAGAGTTCCATGGTGAACTGGATTTTCTAATGTGTAGATCGGTAGCATGGTTTTCATGTCCAACGCAATGATGCGACAAGTGTTGGTCGCAATAATCAAGGTGGACTGCCCTTGGTCACAGAAATGCTCCATCCAGACTGCATATTCGGGTGATCCGTCTTCGGCTATGGGAAGCTGATATTCGCGAACAATTTGAAGCTTACCATATCGAACTGCCGTCTGACTGACCTTCTGATAGTCGACTCGAACGGCATGAACGCTGCCATCAGTGGCCGCACTAATAAAAGTGTAGGTGTTCTCAACAAAGGTCAAGGCCTTCACACGTGAGCCTGTTGCATGACGGTGAGTTTGACGGGATCGAGGGGTCAAGTTCCTTTCAAGTCGAGTTGTATCCCAAATCTTCACCGTGCTATCATCGGACGCAGTAGCAAAGAATGAGTGATCTGGCGCTACAACGACACGATTGATTGGCGCGCTGTGCTCGCCAAAAGTCGCGACCAGATTCCCTTCGGGCTTCCAGATCTTGTTTGGCTCTTGATCAATGGCGTTGCGAATCGGTTGACGAGTATCAACTTCTTTGACATATGGCCCTAGGTCAAATAGGTCTGTTGGGTAGTTTTCCTCAAAGACGTTGTCTAGCAGTCGCAGAACAGCAGGGTCGTTGCCCCCGTACGAATGGTGAGCACGATATTTCTGCGATATTATTTTGGTTGCTTTGTACTCGGTTGAGAGCAAGGGTGTCAATGGCCGGGGTGTGCCGCTTTTTTGGACCGGTGCGTCTACCTTTCCAAAGGCGTTTGTGGAGCTTGTGCCCGTTTCAGCGTAGGCTTTCGCATTGTCTTTACGACTCAACAAGCTCATCGCGCTAGATTTTTTATGTACACGATCGGATAGACTTCTGGTGTCTGCGTTAGTTGGTGTCAAGGAGCCGTCTTCTCCAGAGTTCGGTCGGTGACTGGAAAGCCTTCGATCATTATCAAAGCTCCTAGGGGACAATGGACGATACGCAGGTCCCCCGGCAGGCGATGACGCCAGTGGAGACGATGATAGGGAAGAAGTATCATTTCCATCCAAGATAGGAACACCCGAGCCACGCCTTGTTTCTTTCGAAAGTTGGCTTTTCGACCGCAATTGCTTGCGATGGGCACTGGGCATTCGCTCAATGGTTGTAGACGCGTCAAGCAAAGCATCCGCAATTGTTCTCGGCCTTGGATCATCGACATTGCCATCGTTTACGCCTGAGGGGATTGCTCCCGACTGGTCTTTAATTTCCTTGTCAAAGAACACAGTCTGGGGTTTAACTCCGTGTTGTGTCAAACTGACAATGTCGCTCAAGGGTGCTGTTGAATTGACATCGGCTTCTCTCGATTGCCGCAATGAGACCCTCCAAATGTAGTCTTTGAGTGCAAGGAGCTTGACCTCATCCTCGGGCCCCATCCCGAGGTTTCGCAACCGACCAAGCCATTGTTCGTCCTCATCATTTCTTGGCTGGGCGGCCATATTAAAGGAAGGATTCCGTTGACCCACGCGGGGACTGAATGATCCAGGCTCAGACAAGCTGAATATGCCCTCGCGACTTGGTGACTTCCAGAAAACACCTTTTTCTGATTTGGAAGCCCAGAGGAACGCCGTTTCGTACACACTTCTCAACATTGGCCGTTTGAGTGCATCGAGCAGTTGGGTTTCCGAAAACACAACTATTTTGATCTTGAGGAAAGGCCGGATAATGGGTGTCAAAATGGAATGAATGTCCGCTATCGATAAAAACTTGGCGGAATTAACCACGAACTTGACTGCTGCTTCTCGAATCCAGGTGTTTGGATGCCCCAAAAATCCAACAGTCGTGTTTAGGAGATCCCACGTTGTTGATCGCTGGAATAAGCCTAAGTCAGCCATAGCTGCTAGAGATCGAATCACCCTTTCAACGACAAATTCCTCAGACTCAGTCATGGACTGAACCATCAGCGGTAATATGTATAGCTCCAGATTCAGGCTCCCCACGTAAGCGGCGACACCGATGACAGCCTCGAAAAAGGCGCATTTCAAAATCCAGTCTGGATCATTCAAGTAGGTATTCAAATGACTAAGGACAACCTCGTTTGTTCTGAGATTGCCGAAGAAGACACAGAGGCTGGACACAGAGCCCAGAAAGGCTCGCCGAACTGATGCATCCGGGTCTGTTAGCAGCGCTTTTGTGTGAACCTCGAAGTATTCCAGAAGGTCGACCCGAGCCACGTCGTAGAGATTGTGATAAGTCGCATCCTCGGTCCATCGGGTTTCAAAGCCGACTGGGATCAACGCAGTCAACCGGGTATCAGAACGCAATGCTTGGATCATGTCTAAAAATCTCAAGGACGACTGGGCCAAAGACGCAATGCATGAGGCATATGTGGCACGCACCATGGCGCTTGACTTGATGTTGGAGGTAGCAACAAATGGCTGGAGTCTTGGAAATATGTATTCGGAGAACAAATAGGCATTGACCGGAGAAACCACCTTGACCAATTTTAGTAATTGGGTTAAGGTGCGGATCGCAGCGACCTTCACGGTATCAGTCCGATCAGTCAATAAGATCATGATATATGGGAGAATGCGATCCAATTTAGCTTCATCTGACAACCTTTCCGCAAATGCAAGAAGGATATCGCAAGCCTTGATTCGAGCCGATGCCTTGGCTGTATTTCGCAAGTTGGATACCACAAGTGTGAGGAAAATCAGAGCACCGTCGTCCGGCTGTGACTGCGGTGCCGAAATTTCGGATTCACCATTTGGTAGATCGAGCCTCACAGGAAGAGTGTTGCCTGTCAATTTGGAGGTTGGGATATTAGATAGAGCCCCAACGCCACGGTTGCTAGAACCGAGGAAGTAAGATACTTTATCGAAGTCGAGGTAAATTCGCTCAATTCGTTCGTCTGCCTCCCCTCGGTTGGTTGATTCTGCATCCACGTCTGGTCGCCCGGAAGAAGGATCGGTCATGAGGGACATGTATTGGTGAAGGAAACTGTAGAAGTATTCCGGAAAGGCCTTGCCCTTCCAGAAATTCAGATATTCATCAGCCGAGTACCGAGACTCAGGCTCGAGTTGGATCATATGCAGGATCAACTCTCGAATTTCCGGATCTTCGATTTTTGCTAGTTGACTGTGCTCTGGACTGTATTCCCCTTTGCGATACTTGTACATTTGACTCAGGTTGAAGATCGGCGATTCAAGAAAGAGCTCGGCAATGACACAACCAGCACTGAAGATATCCATTGCCCAGTTGACGCGGCTTTCACTGGGCTCTTCCCCGGCAACACAGAATCGCTCGGGGGCTAAGTAACAGGTTCGCCTCCCGGAGATGTCGAAGAAGAAAGAGAAATCTGCCGGATTATCCTCGGGGAGAAATGTCGGTTTGAAAGATGATGAGAAGTCAGAAAGATACAGCCAGTTCCAGGCTGTGACCAAAACGTTTTCAGTTTTAATGTCACCATGGTAGATATCTAATGAATGACAATCCCGAAGAGCGCACAAGAGCTGGAAGGCAATCCACTTTTTTTCGATATGCTCCAGAAAAGGCCGTGTGCTATATCTATGTCAGGCTTTGCTCGCTGGCAACAATTGCAACAGACATACCTCATTCGATCGTAGAGAGAGCTGTGGATATACTGGCGTACAAGGTATCCACTCGTGGCAGTCTCAACGATCCTCTGGTAGCTTAGCGCATTTGGCACATCCGATAACAACTTTCGTTCCCCTTCAAGCGAGCGTTAGAAGCGTGAAATAGGGAAAAGGACCCAAACATACTCGTAATGTTTTTGATATATGGCTCCAGTTCCATGGTTGGGAAAGGTTTCATGATGACCTTGATAAAAACCAGTCCATTTGGTTGCCTTGCGCGAATGCTTTTCATGAACCTGCCACCCCCCATCGACTTCTCATACACCAGATCGGACAGTTCAGGCACATCGATGCCCGCCGACCCCGCCGACAGGGTTGTGAGGGAATAGCCTTGTCCCATGGTGTCGACTGCCCCTCATCTCCCTACTAGAGAATCAATGGTTATTCAGAGTCAGAGATGGAATAATTGAGATAGAGATTACAGGTGAGAGCTATGCGATAAGGAAAGTTGACGATGAAGTCACTGGACGCGTCGACACGTGCACAAGGCGGTCAGCAACATATCAACAACTTTCAGCTCGCCTTTTCCTCTTGCAATTATTCTTGTTTCATATTACATGTTGTGAAATTATTTATCTCTAATATTGACAAAGGTCATTGTTTCAGTGTGATTTGTGGCCAACTGAAACCTCTCCACTGATCAAACAACATGGACCCTTCATCGATACCTCGGTCTTGATACTTGCAGTTCTGCCCTATCCCCAAGGAGGGATACGCTACATAGAATAAAAAGAACAGCCAATTTTGTTGAGAAAGAAATCCTGAAGTATTATTCAACATTCTATCAACGTCGGTATGTCTGGTTCTGGCGGGGCCACAGCCACGGGGAGACCCGCTAATCAAAGTAGAACTCCAGATGGATTCACACATGGATCATACGGAAATTCCGGTGATCGAAATCGAAGAGCCGCTATTCGATGTTCTTCCCAAGCTGTTCAAGTAAGTCTTGTCTGTCCTCTTGATTCAACTGAATTAACGCCTCCTGTAGTTTTATTAGCATGGCTGTGGGTGAGATGGCGTACACGTTTGAGCAAATGTTGTACGGATCCCAAGGACACCGTCTTAGACAGCTGGTCCATGCTTTGGCAGAGGATACTCACAATCCCTTTATCATTGTGGCATTGATGTAAGTTTACCATAAAGAGGACCCTGAAACTCCCGAGGTCAAGTAGTTGACAGATCCAGGATTCTGAAATGGGACTTCACCACTGCTACCGAGGATGACTGGGGACTCAATGAGAGCCGTGGTGCAGCCTGCGAATTTGTTGCCTGGCAGTTCCTGTGTCACCTGAACCAACGCGAGACGATTGAGTTTTTATTAGAAGAGCTACCATCACCGCGACGCGGTTCGGCAAATATCATTGAATCCGAGGCAGGTAACCCTGGCCTTGCATCTACCCAAGGTGGTACAAGCCATGCGGAAAGTGAGACTTCTCCTCTCTTACCAAACCCTTCTTCTTTTTATCGTCTTTTTGGCGGCAAGAGGGCCATAGAGACTCAGTCACCTGGAACCTCACAAGATACACACCGGCACGAGGAGGCCTATGGGCGATACTCCCAATTTTTCGGATTGAATGCACTAGAAATTGCAACGATCGCCCATGCAAAGAGATTTTTGAGCCAACGAGTTGTTCAAAGGGTGGTCGATGGTATTTGGAAGGGTGAAATCGTTTTCTGGGATTCTCTGACAGTCAATTCCACCAAAAAACCTCATATTTTCAACAGAAGGTGAGACACGACAAGCAATAGTCATGCAGACATACTGACCATTTTCCTTCAGAACGGCTGATCCATATTCACGCTTGAGAGTACCTCTGTACCGGAAAATCTTTGAAGCAGCATTCTTCATGTCTTTCCTCTTTCTCTACTACGCAGTCCTGGTAGAGAGGAGACAGGAGGCCGTTGGCTTCTTTGAAGCGGTGATGTATGTATGGATCGTCGCTTTTGCGTACGATGAATTGAGCGGAATCATTGATGCCGGAGTCGTTTTCTACCAAATGGGGTTCTGGAGTCTCTGGAACCTGAGCATAATCGGTGTTGGAATAGCATTTGTCATAACAAGTGAGTCACTGAGTGCTCTCGATCTGCCTTGCGGCTTGTTTTTCACAGGTCATTTGTGTCAATAGTGCGACTAATGGGGACGCCACAGGGGTCATCGGGCTAGCGAAGGGTGATAACCCCATTATTGAGCTCTCATTCGACATTCTATCCCTTGAGGCTCTGTTTCTTGTCCCGAGGCATGGCTGTTCATGGAATTAATATCTGGGCGACAGGGCTGACACGGAACAGGATCTGCTCCCTTGTGAGCTTGAATTCATACTTCGGCAGTCTAGTAAGTGGATCCTGCATGTAACATCATTCTAGAAAAGGATTGACTGATGAACTATGAATAGATTCCGGTATTAAAAGAGATGGTTGGATTTTCCCCTAAATCCTCAAATGGCAATAGGACCCAAGGCTGATTGAAAATGTGTTTCAGACGAAAGCATTCTTCAGGTTTTTCCCTGTGGTGGTGGTATTGTATATTGGTAAGTGTGGCTAAGCAATTCAACCCTAGACGAATAGAATCACTGAACCCCTGCAGGATTCTTGACCACATTTACCATGCTTGCTCGTGATCGCTTGTCACTCAGTACAATGTCACATTTATTAGTGAAGGTGTTCTTTGGGTATGTCGGTGTAATAACCCGGCTGTGACCGCTCTTTTCCTGACCCTTTTCACAGATCGAGTGTTCTTGGATTAGTGGGTTTCATAACTCTTTGGCCTTTTGGCCTTGATACTGACTGTGGCTGAATTGATTGGATAATAGGACACCGCGTCTGAAGTAAGTCTGCGCACAAGGCGGCTGTTCTGCAGCTCCAATCCTAATCCCGGAGGATTGGCGAAATGGTTGGCTATCGCTTCAAGTTGACTGACACGCTAATTTTTTTAGATCTCCCCCATCTTCGGCTATGGCTTGATGTGAGTTCCCTTGATTTTGCTGAAAACTCGCATGCGCCCTTGATCACGTTCTATGTAACCGGCTTTTTTTTGGGGCTATTAACACACTCTCTATTACAATTTCCACGCCGTTATGTACTGACAAACTAAATAGGCTGGCTTTCGCCCTAATGACCAATACTCTCATTCTCTCATCTTTGATTAGTTTGATGAGTATGAGCCTTGAAGGGGTAAGTAAATACGTTCTATGGAGTACTATACGAAGTAGTTCGTTGATTAATTCCACTTTTTATGATAGGTGATGCGCCATGCCCGAGAAGAATACCTTTTCCAGTAAGTATACATCCCTGTCTAAAAAGGTTGGCACTGCCCCATGAAAAACTCCAATTCTAACCCAATCAGGTTGGCCATTTACGTCCTAGAAAGCAGCAATTCTCGACGACTAACATACTTTATGCCACCCCTGGTCAGTTAGAGTTTGATTGGATTGAATCTTTCTTTCTGGAATATTTCCAAGCTGACATTCGGCAGAATCTTATTCCCCTCCTCTGTATCCGCCCCATGCGGCTTTTTCTCTCGGCTGGAACAGTTCGCCGCGTACGCATTGTCTTACTTCGAGCCACCCATCTCCCGTTTGTCGCATTGATATGGGCATACGAGTCTAAATGGCGACAATCACACAGTCTTCCGGCACGCAGTCAAGGTACTTCTGCAAATCCTCCCCGTTCCCAGGACCCACACTCCGTAATTGAAACAAATCGGCTAGGCCCTGGAAAAGCCAATGTGGATCAACAAGCCGCGCGTGAGCTAGGCATGGTCAGCCAAGTACAACTTGCGGACTTGATCGACACGATAGAACGACTACGAGCTCAAGTAGAGGCAATTTCCAAGTGACAAAATGATTTGTCTTGGACTTCCAAACGCGGTAATGAGGGGGTTCACTTCCCTGGCGCTTAAGGCCACGCACGCCCCTGCACCAAAGGCGCTAGTCGGTTCGGTTTAGTGACTCCAAACCGTTCGAGATGCTTGTGAACAACCATATCGATGACAGCCTAATCCAAACAGGCTAGGTGTTTTTTTTCGGGGTTCGCTTTTTTTTTCTCCTTTCTTTTCTTTTTCTGGAGGGGGGAGGGTGCTTTTTCACCCCCTGTCCATGGCGTTTCAAGAGTTCTCCTTTCCAATTTCAGAAAGGAAAGCGAGTAAATATAGAGTGAATTTGGACATGTACAGTTTGTCCGGCATATAATCTGTGGAGTCAATGTGGAGTTTTACCGTATGGTATACATGAAGCCAAAGGGAGCGGTTCGGAAGGGCCCGCATACCACTGAGGTCACGATAACTTAATGTTCGAAATCAACTTCGTCAGATACAGGGCTGTGCTCATGGTAATCCCTCTCGACAATGCGCTTCGCCAAGCTGAGTTCCAGGGACTCTGGCTCTGCTGATGTTTCTGTATGGCTACTACCTGCATGGGACACGTCTAGGTTGGGCAGACCAGGCCCAACGGTGGTGAAATGGATGATTAGCCTTTAGACAAACCCAACAGCCGCCGTTATGCATCGTTATATCATGTACGGAGTATGGATGGAGTACTATGTACTTCAGGGTACAATCTAAGAACAAACTAGGCTGTTAATTCAATGAATTTGCCCTAAATCTGCCTATGACATATAGGAGCTAAACCCTTGTGTCCATCAGACCTAGACTTACCCGGCCCTTAATGCCCCCCCCCCGATTTTCTCTTCCACCGCAATTACAGACCCTTTTCTCTCCAAATCTGCCTTGTCTATTACGGCGTCAAGTCGTTGAATATTCAACATCTGTCGGTGTCGATGCGGCGCAAGTTCTTCTCCAATGAATTCATACCCTATCCACACTCCTCTCAGCCACCGATGTATGCTGCCGTCAATCACCAACAGCGAAGCTGTTGACTCCAAAGCCTTTACTATATAAACTTGGACTTGTCACCCTTTATTCACTCGGATATAGACTAACCTTTGGTTGGCTTGGGACTACACTTCTTACGTTTTCATTCTTCCCAATATGAATCCGACCCATGATTTACTTCATCGCTCAATCACATCCCCGCGAAGAGAGGATAGACGGTCTCGCGAAACATCGACATACTCATCTCCTGTCTCGAACTCGTCCCAGGGAGGGGTTTCCCCTATTGGTTTGGGGATCTCCCGCTGCGAAATCGAGAATGCCTTTGATCAACTGAGGGTCTTCCCTCCCCCATCTACACTTCCATCACAACTGGTTCCTGGAGCGCCAACTCCCACCTTCGCATTATCCTATGACGGCTATTCCAGCGGAACATGTTATCCACCAGTTTACAATGGGCTTGTCAACAGTGCTTCGGAGACTTCACTAGAATTCTACAGCCCCACGATGAGCGCCTCCCCCAGTTACAACTCTACTATGGAGGTTGTCCCCGGTCAGCATGTCTACCCAAGCCAAATGACCGATCTTTGGATGCACACACCTTGCTCGGGACCGACAACGCCATCGGATGTGACTCCGGGCACTGTAGCGAATGGGGCCGGACAATGGGACCACATTGTGTTTTCAGATGCATGTATTCCCCCTACCATTCCTCTATTGCCAGTCAACAATGTTCCCTATCTTGGGGTGATGGGGGAAATGGGAGAGATGGGATACGACGGATCCTCCGGGCAGAGCATCAACACTGGACCAATCATGCCTCAACAAGCCTCTCCCGAAGGGACCGATGAGGCCACAATCTCGGGCAGAGAGCGCGGCTCATCCAACGACAGGTTAATATCTGCCAGTGGCCTGGAATGTCCGATTTGTGGCGCCAAATTCACCCGACGCTCCAACTGCAAGGAGCACCAAAAGATGCACAACCCCGAATGGAAGAACAACCATCCGTGCAATGACTGCCACAAGTCTTTCGGGCGAAGCTCAGATCTCAAAAGACACATGAGTACTGTGAGTAGGGAGACCAAAACGAACCAAGTGCCGACACTAACGACGCTTCTAGGTTCATCTCGGGCTTCGGAGATACAGCTGTGACCGTTGCGACCGGAGTTTCAGTCGCCAAGATAGTCTAGCTAGGTAAGGTCCCGGAATATTGTTCCTCGTTGACTGTGCTTGTGTGCTGATATGAGCAATAGACATGATTGTATAGACAGGCACCGCAACGCTGGGAAGTCTCCCCTTATGCCCAGTCCCCGTCAACGATCGTCAAACCGCCGCTCAGCTAGCTAACATTAGAGGTTTCCCATGTCTGCATGTTTGCATATATAAATGAATATCGGAGGAAAATATCGTTTACATTCGCTATGAGTCTTACGAGTTGCATAGTTTTGCCATTATGGGATCGGCTAGTCAGACCTTGAGCATTTTGTTTTTTTTTTTTTTTTTTTTTTTTTTATTTGTGTTCACTTCTGTTTGGCTTCATGAGATGCGATTCCTGTTCGGATTCACCTATCTTCTGTTTTGCATTGTTTGGTTGTATGCATGTTGGAATATTTGAATTATTGGTGGTCTTTTGGTTTTTAACAATGCATTTCCTATATGATATATTCCCCTGTAGCCCACTTCTAATGTGATATCATTTGCATGTCCAAGCTGGCGCGCGGGTAACAGGAAATTACATCCAATACAAGAACGTTCAAGATTAGAAACATGTTCTCAGGACGTGGAATTGTACATACCTTATTTCCACGACTTCAAGTTCAAGCCCATGGGATCTCTCAACTCTTGCCGCGCTCCACTTCAAAAGAACGCCGAATCACACGCTAAAATCAAATGGGATCTTCAATATCCAGACGATCTTTGAAAAAAAAAAAAGTGTGAAACAATTCTAACCTCTTATTCTTGTATTGATCTGCTCTTGAAATTTACAACTCCCTATAATATAAAAAATTACGACTGCAAAGGCTCAACGCTGAGATATCAGGTTATGTCTCACTTCCCCAGCCCTGACCTCTTCCTGCAATCTATTAATCCTTGCTCAATCACACGCTATCACCAAAAAATATAGTGTGGAAGAATCCATTTTATGTTCACCCTTTTAACAATTTCGGTCATATTATTAACAGCTCTTCTTCCTTCCCCCCCGCTATCTCCACTGAAGCTCGTCTCAAGTGGGGAACAAAAGGGCATTCAGCCATTTGGAAGTGTGCCTTCAATGCAGCCGCGGAGACATCGCGTCTGTTCGCCTATCTGGAAAATGGGTCCATAAACTATGGAATAGTTGCCCTCTGGAAGTTGGATGGGCCGATTCAATTGCCCCTGAGATTTTCTTAGAAGTGGGCCCGGAAAATCCATAGGAGGCGTTTGCTAACACTCATCGGTTTCCCTATCTGACCCGAGATGATCTCAAAGAAAAAAAGTACAAGTATACGGAGTAGCTGGAAGACCACATTTCTTCCAATTTGCAGATCTCCATGATTTTCATGGAGCTATGGCCTCAAGCTAAAAAAAAAAAAAAAAAAAAAAAACTATCCAAGCTCGATAATATTACCTAAAAACGGTGAACGCCGATCTCTATACTCCGTCCTCCGTATCCGCAATAAACTAGGGGAACAAAGGAATACTACTTGTCCCACTGTCTCATTGTGTGATGGGGCCCAATTTCCAAAAGGCTCCTGCAACTTGTCGCTCTTTCATACGGGGAATGTGCTCTACTAGTACCAGCGCCACACTACGCCGTACTGCCAACGGCTTTGCAGCACACACGGCCTAGCCTGACCTATCGATTTGTTCGAATATCCTTAGCATCTACCCCTGAGTTTAGTAGAAAATCTTAGGTGCTTTCATCTCTGTCGATTGAGGATCTATGCTGGCATCGGATATGCAGGGACAATTTTGGTCAGATAAACGTCATCGGAATTCTACGTATGGGGTAGGATTACTGGGTGTCAAGATGAGAGAACTGGATATCCGATTGGATGATCTTGTGCCTTGGATGCTAGCATGGGTACGAGCTACTATGACTCATCACACTAAACAGTTCGGTCACGGGAATAGTTAGGTTACAAGGCGTACAGGCTATACAAAGCTTTGATTGAGAATAAGGAAATGCTTTAAGAACATGGCTGATGCACCTGTGAAAAATAGTTGGGAAACAACTGCTCACTGCCAAGTTTATCAAAGTCTGCCATCATATCTTACTAACATAGTCGTCGTATATAGACTAACCCATCAAGACTTGGTAGGCCTTGTCTCAATTGGATCAATGGGGATCATTTCCGGCGAATCCGAGGAGCTACCCTCTGTCTTCTCTACCTCGTGAATCAGGTTCCTAATATACCATATCAGTTAGCAGTAGGCACAATCTCAAAGACATAATACACTTTTCCAATTTACTTACCCTTTGTTCAATTTCTCTCTTTTATGAAGGAAACGAATACCAAAAGTACTGATAATCAGGATAACAGACAGAATGCTGACGGTGATAAAGCCCTTGCGATATTCCGGCGCATGGACCTGCTGCCATACAACAAGCGGTAGCCAGGCTTGGAACACATAAGCCATTTCGTTCATACTTCCGATAACCAGAGATCGCTCTTCGTTATCTTCAGAGCATATCTCATGGGCCCAGCTGTGATAATTGTATTAGCATATCTCCACTTCGATAGCCTTGAGGATGAGACTTACGCCATCAACAGACCACTCAGTCCATATCCAGCCCCACTGATAATGTAACAAGTCCACTTCCATCCCGTCGGAATGTCCCAAACTGCGAGCGAGACATAACTGATGATGTTGACGCACTGGTATAGTGTTAGAGCATTTTATATTTGCTTGTGGGGTGTTATACTCACGGCACCAAAGATAATCGGAGGCCAACGCCTGCCGTTCAGGACAGTATCCGATAACCACGCATAAGCTATGGTTGTCACAACTTGAACTGCCGGTGTGGTGGTTGGTATCGAATTGATCTGACTGATTGAATATACAGGATCTTTTGAGTTTTTGAGGAACCTTCCAGATGTCAGATTAAGCTTAACGATGGTGGTGTCCAGATATTACTCACTGTTGGAAGATAGGCTGGCTTCCAGCGGCACCATTGTTGAAACATCTAAAACGGGTGAGTCTTTTTGTTCTAATTAGTTGGGTATTCAGCTCACATATAAGCCAAGGTCAGAAGATATATGTGCCACGACGTGAAGATCTTCTTCAACTTTGACTTTGTGTATGGCTCTCTGTTCCGTCGTCCTTCTAATCTCATTCGCTCCTGAGCAAGATTGACCTCCTATTTTGATGTTAATATATGCATAGAACGCAAAGGTTCGAAATGTTAAAGCTTGCCTCTTTACTCAGATACCATGGATTGGAGATCTCAGGCACATCGGGAAGGATGAAGAATCCACTGATAGCCACAGGCAGGGAAATAACCCCATCTATAATAAACAGCCTTGGTGCTAGTTAGTATATAACCAAATTTTGAGAATCTGCCACTTTTACCACTGCCATCCTTTGAAGCCTCCTCGCCCTCCGAGGTGGAAAACCGCGTCCATCAGATAACCAGAAAACATACTAGCAATTCCACTGCTCGTGTGAAAAATGCATGATCGTTTTGCCAGCTCGTCTTTCCGGTACCATGAGCCGATGATATACTGCATTCCGGGGTAGAAGGTACTTTCCGCGAGACCTATGTACCATGTTAACGACTCTAACAGAGTGTGTGGTTGTTAGTTTCTGCTTGCATACCAATGAAAAATCTAAGAACATAGAACTGAGTAGGGGTGTTACACCGGGACAACGACATTGTGAGAACCGTCCAGAGAAGCTATTGATGGGTAAGCATGCATCTCTCACACAAGGGGAGAACCAAGCCCTCGTACCTCCATCGCCGGAATCCAATATCGCGGCTTGATGCGAGTCAGGAGTATATTACTAGGAATCTCTCCAATAACGTAGCCGACAGTCCAACATGTCTGCATGTAGTTGAGTTCGTTGCCGTACATGCCCAAATCTTCTTTCCTATGAGTTGTCAATACCAAATTCCTGGAACATCAACAGGGTACCATACATTCCAGAGACAAATGCATTGTTGATATTGATCTGATCCAGGTACTTGATAAAATATCCTACAACTGTTTAGCATTGTCTAGAAGAAATGGTTGATGAAACTTACCCAACGATGCAAACGTTAAAATGGCCGAATCCAATTTGAAAAGCAATCGACGCTCCTCTGGTGACTTATCAAATGTGTCCCAAACATAGCTGACCCATTTGCGCTTGGGTTCTTTCTGAACTACCTGCGTCGCCGGATCGACGTCCGCTTCGGTAGGGTATTTTAGCGCCATGGTGTCGTAGATGCTGAGGGGAAAGGTTGAAATATTAGAGTCTTTGGGACATTTTATAAGCTGCAGCGCGGGAAAACAATTAAAATTTTGTTTCAGAAGAATTGCTAAAATAGAACGAATCCTACATATGATAATCCAGCTTTGTGACGTACTACCTTCTTGAGGCCAACCTAGCGTTGTCTTTTCAAAGTTCTTATCAGCATAACAACGGAGATATACCCGGCTTAAAGCCGCATGGATCATACTTCAAGCTTATATTCCGTACTGAGTGGGCGATTTGCATAGCAGGTCGAATTATCGGGCGACTTGTTCGCGCAATTCCTGCAAGGAGTTTCAACATCGTGTGAAATGCCTAGTCAAATCGGAGATTTGCCGACTCTGGGGATGATTTGTTGCTGTGTTGCCATACCACGCTAGAAACTCATCATCCGTGCAGTGAAGCTCGTCATATAGATCGATCATGGTGTGATCCCTCAACGGAACACTATATTGTCATATTTTCAAACAGATCAAATGTTATCGTTTACCTAGTATTTCTTTTGATCAAATATTTTGTTATATCTATTAGTGGAAGGAAGAGGGGTTGGTGAAAGGGCGAGTTTCTATATGCCTGAGAGCCTACATTACGTTGAAGATACTATGACGATGTCGTTTTACAATGTCTTCAGTACATATTTATCTATCTTCAAATACCTCACGCAGCCACTCCCACCTCCAAGGGAGGTTTAAGCGCATCTTCCCGAGTAAGCTGCCCTGCCAGAAGTAACTTAAGTCTCTCCCCCAAAGCAGCTCTCTCTTTAATCCAGGTCTCAGTGTGACCCTCAATTAAAGGCAAACCACGCTCAATTTTTCCAGTATTGACCCATTCGATCAATTCATCGACATAAGGCTTCTCTTGGTCCTTGAGTGAATGGAAATTCCGTCCAAGCCCCTTCTTTGCAACGCGACTCTCATATTCTGTCCTGAGATTCGTAGTGGATGGGAGTTGGGCAACCCCAGACAGGAAAGCTGCCACGGCTATAGCTTGGAACTCGAATAACGAGAACGTCGCCGTGTAAAAAGGAATTCCGACAAACGCGAGCGTGGGATCTGGGATGTAGAAAATGTCCTTATGCAAGTTGTGGACTTGAGTGCCATCTGTGACAAGCACTCTGTCATTTGCCTCGGTGGCAGACACGCCGTAGTCGTTATAATCGTCGAGGAATGGAATTGCCATTTGGTATCCTGTACAAAGAATAATTGTATCGATATCTTTCAAGAATTCCCCGGATTTTAGACGAACGATCAAGGGCAAGTGCTCGGTGTCTGACGATGTTGATGTAGGAGATTCGAATACTTCCACTTCAGCAATTCTTGAGGCGTTTTCTGGAAGTGCACTCTCGGGGAGATCAAAGGCACCATTTCGAGTGCTTTGATAGACGTGCTTTGCGGTTCCGCTGATTTCCTTGGCTATATCGAGAGAAGAGACACCTCCACCGAGTAATAGTACATTCTGTAGGTCATTCAATAAACTGCCAATCAATAGTAGAATGCGTTAACTCCTACCTTTCCTTCAAATCCTTTCGACCTTCGGAAAGACTTCGAATGGAAGATCCTCTCGGGCCATCGAGCTTTTGCTTCGGGTAGACCCCGTATGTTTGGAACGAGAGGTGTATGATAATGACCCGAGGCAACAATGACCGAGTCAAATGTCTATAAATTCGGTCAACCCCCATTTCTGAAAATGAAAATGGAAGATATTATAAAGACTAGAACTTACTGCAGACTCCTCATTTTCAACAGGTTCTTGACCTTCACCCAAAGTGCTCCAGTGGACTATCCATGTTGGCCCGTCCTTATGAACTCGGGTGACTCGGGCGCCATACTTAGTTATATCATCGACACCGGCCTTGTTCGATGTATCTTGGATATATTCCTTGAGCACATGATGCTTCACAAAATGACCAGTCCCTTCTGGCCATGCATTGAGTTTTGTCTGTAGTAAGGGAGTCGAGACATTATTGGTGAGACTTTCATAACAAGGACTAAGAAATAGTAAGTAGGACTGCTATATAAGAAAAAAAAAAAAAAAAAAAAACGCTGGACCTTACCCCGGAGGTGCATGAAGTAAGATCTTTCTTTCGCTTTCTCCCCTCTCATCCTTCACATATTCCTGTGAAGCAGATGGTCTCGGTGATGGGTATTGTGCTTCAATCGGAGTACGCTTGTCATAAAGCCTACAACGTTTTAGTCCATTATTCCAAATTTAAAAAAATAGACGAAAGATCTTACCAAACTCCCCCGGCTGCATTGTTTCTCTCAAAAACTGTCACCTGAAGTCCAGCAGCCAGAAGGTGGCCAGCAGTGACCACTCCACTGATACCAGCCCCAATAACAGCAACTCGAGTGGTCTCACTCATGATGACTTTCACGGGAGCAAAAAAAAGAAGAGATTTGTCTATTCCGGATAAAACGCATCTACGTGGATTGTTCCCACACTTATGGGCCCTCCAAACGACAACATGGGCTGATATTTCGTAATTTCAAATCCTAAGCGGAACAAACGGCATTGGGTCGTTAGAGATCCTCGTGATTCTGATCGTGGATTGTGACATCGATTCCCCGCTTGCAACGAGGACTAACATATCAACTCCGAAAGAGGGGTAAGGATGGTAATGAGAGATAGCTAAAAGTGACATTCGTGGCCCATAAAAGGCGTAATGGGTGATGACGATGATGTGCTCAACCCCTGCGATGAAGGGAATATTTTTTAAAAATATGTATATAATACATGATATTAGGACTAATAGTTCCAAAGTTCCACACGTTATCTATTATCATGGCGCCCGCTCCAATTGATCCACGCATCGTCGACGTCGCAGTGCCCAGGAAGGACACTCTCGGCCTTCCTGGGCCTGCGCGAGAACGCTTAGAAAAAGCCGGGGTTGATCTCAGTGGTGGCTACCCGTACCGACCATCTCGTCCTCTCTATATTGATGACGTTTACAATGTCCGGGACTATGATCGCGTCCATGTAGACCCTGGCAGCCGAGCCGATCCTGAGAAGAAAGCCCTTCTATCCGCAGCCAAAGAAGTGATTCCGTTGACTAGACACATTGGAACTGAGATTGTTGGCTTGCAACTGAAGGATTTGACAGACCAGCAGAAAGATGAACTAGGCTTATTGATTGCCGAACGAAGCGTTGTCTTCTTCCGTGATCAGGATATCACTCCTCAGCAACAGAAGAAACTGGGAGAGTGGTTTGGGGAGGTGGAGATTCATGTATGTTTTGTCCAATCCAGCGAAACCATGTGCCAATCACCAACCCTGTTTCTCTTCGTTAGCCTCAAGTGCCCCATGTCCCTGGCATTCCCGGCGTGAGTGTGATGTGGCCAGCATTGCAGGAAACAGAGAGACCAGCGAGCTTCCGTCGACCGGGAGGTGCATCTCGGTGGCATAGCGATCTCGTGCACGAGAGACAGCCCGCCGGAGTGACCCATCTCCACAACGACACTGTACCGACCGTCGGAGGTGATACCCTCTGGGCGAGTGGATACGCAGCATATGAGAAGCTATCGCCATTATTCCGCAAGTTGATCGACGGAAGGACTGCCATCTACCGCTCAGCTCACCCGTATCTTGACCGTAATAACCCGGAAGCAGGGCCGAAATATGTAGAACGCGAGCACCCTATTGTCCGTGTTCATCCAGCTACAGGCTGGAAGGCACTGTGGGTGAACCGGGCGATGACAGACCGAATCGTTGGGCTTGACAAAGCCGAAAGTGATGTTATTCTAGGATACCTACACGATGTTTATGAGAAGAACCCTGATATCCAGGTTCGTTTTAAGTGGAGCCCACGCACGAGTGCATTATGGGATAACCGGTGAGTCAATACCCTGCGAAATTTCCTGAATTTAAAGCTGATTCTTCAATAGCATCACGATCCATAACGCAAGCTGGGATTATGAGGGATCCCAGCCTAGACACGGGACACGGGTGACTTCGCTCGCTGAGAGGCCTGTATTTGATCCGACTGCACCAACTCGGCGGGAGAAGTTGGGTCTTTTGGGGCCAGAGGAAGTTGCAGAATTGGAGAGGTTGACTAGTCTCCTTGAACTCAAGTCATGAAGGTGCTATCTTGATGTCCATGATGGCTTGGTGAGAACTGGTATGGCTTCCGGTATTCGCATACAGATAGGCCTAGCCTTGAACGCAATTTTAATCATCGTGTAGCCACTTTTTGTAATGCGTAATGCCATAAGTAGAGGTAGCCCTCGGTACAGAGTGTGTCAGATGATCGGAGCCACCTGATTTCCCCCATAGGCAAGGGGTTCGGACAAATTTGCCGATCGTTGCCGCCTTCGACCCCAAACGCATTTCCTTCACTGATTTCTCTTTGTTAGCATTTCATTACTTTCTTTCAACTTTAATTTTGAGCCAAAATGAGCGCAACCACAACAATCACCAGTCCGCCTGAGATCACGGCGGACAATGTCGCCACTCTCTTTCCCGAGGTCGATACATCGCTTGCCCGTGAAATCCTCCCCACAAGCCAAACAAACACTGCGCGCGGCAGCGAGCTTGAGGGCTACGATGAAGAGCAGGTCCGCCTGATGGATGAAGTCTGCATTGTTTTGGATAACAATGATCGGCCGATCGGAAGCGCCAGCAAGAAGATCTGTACGTTTTGTACCCCATAGTCACCCACGGATGTACAGAATGGCGGGGTAGTGACAGGCACAAATTCGAGATAAAACACTGACGGTTGCATCTGCATAGGCCATTTGATGACCAACATCGACAAGGGTCTCCTTCATCGCGCCTTCTCTGTTTTCCTTTTCGACTCCAATAAGCGTCTTCTGCTCCAACAACGCGCCACCGAGAAGATCACCTTCCCCGACATGTGGACCAACACCTGTTGCTCACACCCCCTTGGAATCCCTGGCGAGACTGGAGCTGAGCTGGATGCTGCCGTGATGGGTGTGAAGCGTGCTGCACAGCGCAAACTGGACCACGA